TGTATAATTATTTGTAGTAGAAATTTCAAAATCTCTTATTAATCAAAGAATTTTGGAATATACTACAATTTGTTTAGTCTGAAAAAGGTTTTGTTTTGCAACTTTATATAAAACTGGTCATTGTATACTTTATGATGATTAATGAATTATTTGAGGTTCAATTTAATGGTATTTAGTGTATATGTTTATAGACTGATGCATACATGCTGGGTTTCAGAAAACAAGTACTTTAGTGACATTAGAAATTTTAACAAGTAACAGATTAAATGTATAAGATTTACAGCACAGTGATTAAAAACAAAGGGATACAGACTAAAGAAAATAGTTGTAAACTCGGTTTGTTTCTCTTTACATAGCTACAGTGTATATGCTAAAGATTTACATATACTGTGAAGATATCTTAAAGTATAGCTACAAAACACAGCTAAGAAAATATAAAATTAACTGAAAGGCTCTGCAACAATACCTCAATTATAGCATAACCAAATATAACCTAAATATTAATATTTCATATTACTAAATATTAAAGATTTAAAACAAGTCTACGGTATTTCTTGCTAAAACTCAAATTTTTTAATAGTTTCATAGGTTTATATGTAACAGTACTTTAACCTGGGCAACAGAAATTAAAACTGCTACAACTGGAATTACGTGAAAAAGCAAAGCGACTGATACATTAAAAAATCCTAAAACCTTACAGATTAGAATTGAGGAGAAGAAATAAAATGTGATAGAAGTATTGTGTAAGTCGTCAGCATTAACAATAGCAAACAAGAACCCAGAAGATACAATTACTTAAATACATAATTAAAAGACCAAAAATGTAGGTCAACAAACACAATTCTTTCAATATTCTATCTGGGGTCTTTGTTTAATTGTATTACTAGAATTATTAAAAATAAAATTACTAGTTACCAACAATGAGCTTTAACACCAAAGACACTTAAATTTGTTATGATCTGGGGGTCCTCTGTCCTTTTAAAAATCAGAGAAATTCAAGGTAAGAATCTTCAACAAGCAAAAAATGGTAAAGCTAAATAGGATTTCTTCAACTTTACTTTCATGTCCTTTCCTTAAAGATTCAAAACTCTCAATACTGGGAGGATCTCTGTTAAACATATTTTACAAGAAATTCCGATAAAACTTCCAAACATTACTGGATCTGCAATACTGTCATCTCTTTTTTTGTTGTTGTCGCTATGAAAATACAGGACCTCAGTTAAACCTCAGTTCTTACTGAAGCCTTAGGCAAGCATTTAATCTGAAACCCAGATAACTATTTATCCCTTCCTTAAATATCTCCAGGGGATGAAATTGTTCTCAAGTCTCTTCCCAACACATAATTCACAATCTAGAAGTCTTTATCTAAGGTATCTTTGGTGCTTCATAAATTTAAGTTCATTGCCTCATGCTGTTTTCAGTGCGTGACACAGCCAGTTAAATGCCTCTATGCATTTACCATCTGAAAGGAAGTATATCCTAACTTTCATTTCTTCTCCCTACTAGCTGGCAATGCAGCAACTATGAAGAGAAATAGTACCAATAAAATTAACTCAAAGCATGGAAGGCTTTTTTTCTCCCCCCCTAAAAACAACCAAGCAAAGACATAGATTTAAACTTAAATATACTGTGACTAATTTACAACATTCTCGTGGGACCTAGGAAAATTTTAACATATACAGAAAGGTTTTATGATGTAACACAGATTTATGGATCTTTCACTTTAAAAACTGAACATATGTGGGAAAATACAAATAAGAGAATGTTTTCATAAAAGGTAAACAGTAAATGTATTTTAAAAACTCCTTTACTCATGATGTAGCTAGTCTACTCCTTAAGAAGTGTGGTTCCTTATTCAGCTTTAGGTGACAACGAAGTCATGACTTTTGTAAAGGTTAAGAGAATTGTATTTGTTTTTTTAAAAAATAAACTTTTGGTTGTCTCCTTTAAATATTAACTTAGGTCAGAGTCTCTTATGGTAGATAAGAATTCATCTTATGATTTAATTATACAGGAACCCACAAAGAGCCAAGGCAGAACATACCAAAAGGAAGCTATTGCTATTTTAATTTAGATTTGTATTTTCACATTTTTGTTCTTCCATGATAACACGGATACAAAGTCACATTAGCAGACTTGCATTGTATGCTCTTAGTTCTATAAAAATCTGTGTCTGATAGGAATACAAGATCTTCAGTCGGAAAACTTCAGAAAAGTCTACATGTTTTGAGGTTTCATGATACTCTCTGAATTTTCCTTGTTTTGGTAGCTTATTTCATACTAGTTTATTTAGATAAAATAATTTTATGATCTAAGAGTTTCCATTCCATTCCTGAAGTGACTGAAATGAGTGCATCTGAACACTGGATACGTTAACTACGTAGGAGAAATGCTATACGTTTACCCAGCAGGCTGATGGCTTCTATTTTACTGTCCACAGTTTTAAAAATAAACCACATCTAAATTCTATGAATCTGCAAGTATAACAAGAAATATTTTATTGGTTTTTGGTACAGGTAACTCTAGTATAGTAACTAGAGTCCTTTTTAAATAAAATAGATGACACTCGGTCTAAGTTTTCTACTAATGTCAGAAGGCAAAGTATGAAAGCAAAAAACTAAAAGTACTCATCCGAGTATACTTCTGGCTATCAGTCAGCAAATAGAAAGCCTTTGACACAAACATGGAATATTACTATGCACCTCCTTCCTATCTTATGTTAGGAAAAGAAAAAGAATTCTGTACATTCCATCCATTCTTTGCTTTATTTTCATTATCACCCTGTTTTGCAAACATTACTCATTTCATTTGAAAACACCGAAGTAAGGAGACATGGTTTTAGAAAGCAGTAGTCATCTTTATGACTCTAGTTGAAGAGTCCATATTTCATTGATACAACCTTTAATTTTAGGAGGCTTCATAATCAAGTTAGACAGGTAACTATCAACTAACAGAATACATATGGAGGGAAAGGAGTGACAGCAGAAAAGTCTGGGATATAAAAATGATCCACAAATACCTGTGCATAATTAAGTTAATGGGTCAATGTAAAGAGATGCAAACCAGGAAAAGACTGTAAAAGACACGGAACACAAAGTTAAGACTCCTCTGCAGTTACTACATGCCGAGGATAAAAATCACAGGTCTAGAAAGTTATGAGTAGAAGATCTGAATCCCATTTGAGTGTTTTAGCTCCTCCAGGTTTATTTCTTTGCAAAATGGTAGATGTTTACTTCACAGTGCTGTTGTCAATGCAAACAGTTAACATGAGTTAAGCACTCCAAAAATATAAGGGATTGTTACAGTGTTGGTGATAGAAAAAAGGATAGAATACGTTGCCATATGATGTAGTTGTTATTGAAAAACGTGAACCCTGGAGTCTTCTACCTGAGTTCAAATTCTGGTTCCATGTCTTAGAAGCTGTGAGGTACTTAACATCTGGATGCCAGTTTCTTCATTTGAAGATGAGGATAATAATAATCTACCTCAGAGGGTTATGGTGAGATGTAAATGATTTAATACCTGTAAAAGGCTGAAACAATGCCTGGCACTTAACACACACCCAATAAAGATGAACTATTGTTATTGTTGCATTGCTATTTATTAATAGCAGGCATAAACAACTTGGGACCTGGCTCCCCAAAGCAGAAAAAACAAGTACCTGGGTGGAAAATGGGATACAAAAGTTCTTAGTATATCCACTGCTATCCTTCAGAAAGAGCAGACAGGAATCAAGTTTATAAGAGAGAGAAGGTGGGCTATACTATAGCAGCTTGTTAATGAACCTGATGGGGTGACACATCTTACTCATTCTAACTGCTACTACTCTTTAGGGGAGGTAACTAAAGAAAAAGAAAGCAGCTTTGGTTCTTGGAACTACTCTTACGGTTTCCTCGAGTGTTTCCTATAGAAATTGTACTATAAAAGGCAAGTACGTCTCTGCCACAGCAAAAATGGAACATTCCAAGCACACATTTTAGCGTATGTGCCACTGCTATAAACACTGACTGAAGAGCCAGGGAACCTGAATTCTAGACCTGGTTCTAATATTACCTATTTGTGTGGCGTGGCCTTGGCTTTCAACATACCCATGGGAGCAAAGAGGTCTTGTCTTGAATGAGATGAGATGGTCTTTAAGGTACTTTCCAACTCTAACGATCAGATTCAATGACAGATGAGTTTCTTTCCTTGGTAATCGTTATAAAAAATTATTAACATTTTACTAAAATGAAGTTCAGTAGAACTTCTGTTAGAAAAGTGAACCTGCTGAATCATATATAAGCTTAGAGCATATATATGATTACGATTTAGGAAACACAATTACCCACAATAATGACTGTGAGCATGCTATCATTCTTAAATTTGTCATTAATCCCAAAAGGACATGTTACAAAAACAAACAAAAAATATGATGCTAAAACTTTCTGGTTTTAGATTTGTCTAAAAATATTTTTTTAATTTGATAGATAAAAAAGATACTTATTAGAGAGGGCCAATTTAATTGAAACCGCACAATATAAATAAAAACCACTGGCAACTTTCATATTAGTTAGAGAAGATGTTTTAATTAATGCCTTACCAACATTATGTACCATGTTCTAAGCCTTAAGATAGCAAGTGAACTTTTTAAAGGTAAGAAAAGTGTCTTATCAGGGTCTCAGAAGCCGCAAGAGCATCTAACAATATGCCTCAGCACACAGTGGGCACTCACCAAGATCTGCTCATTGAGCTGGGGAAAGAAAAGCATTACAATAAGGTGGTAGTTGGAGAGCTCATCTCTGAAACCTAATTTTTAAACAAATAGGAAGGTGCTTAATACTGAATTTAAGAAATTAATAACTTTAATTCTGGCCCAATTTATTAACACCAATAGATATGCAGTTTTTCCCTTAGATACTTTTTTATGTTACTGACTTTAAAAGTAGATTAATATCAATTCTTTTCTACTTTTTCCCTTCATCTTTTTTTTTTTTTTTTAAAGACGTCATACAACCTCATTTCAAAATGAAGGCTTTTATCTGGACCCTAAGTGTGCTATTCTTCCTACTAATGGGCATTGGACATTGCAGAGGAGGACAGTTCAAAATAAAAAAAATAACCCAGAGGAGATACCCTCGTGCCACAGATGGTAAAGAGGAAGCAAAGAAATGTTCATACACATTCCTGGTACCTGAACAAAAAATAACAGGGCCAATATGTGTCAATACCAAAGGGCAAGATGCAGGTACCATTAAAGACATGATCACCAGGATGGACCTTGAAAACCTGAAGGACGTGCTCTCCAGGCAGAAGCGGGAGATAGATGTCCTGCAATTGGTGGTGGATGTAGATGGAAACATTGTCAATGAGGTAAAGCTGCTGAGAAAAGAAAGCCGTAACATGAACTCTCGTGTTACTCAACTCTATATGCAACTATTACATGAGATTATCCGTAAGAGGGATAATTCACTCGAACTTTCCCAGTTGGAAAATAAAATCCTCAATGTCACCACAGAAATGTTGAAGATGGCAACAAGGTACAAGGAACTAGAGCTGAAATATGCTTCCTTGACTGATCTTGTCAATAACCAGTCTGTGATGATCACTTTGTTGGAAGAACAGTGCTTGAGGATATTTTCCCGACAAGACCCCCATGTGTCTCCTCCTCTCGTCCAGGTAGTGCCACAGCACATTCCTAACAGTTATCAGTATACTCCTGGTCTGCTGGGAGGCAATGAGATACAGAGGGATCCAGGTTACCCCAGAGATTTAATGCCACCACCTGATCTGGCAACTTCTCCCACCAAGAGCCCTTTCAAGATACCACCGGTTACGTTCATCAATGAAGGTGAGTTACCTCTTACTGTTAAAAATGGAAGTACAAGGTTAATATGTTTTATGGTTTATGAGACAATGCTCGTAATACATGCCTATTCTTCATTTTGGTGATGTAATTATACATGAACATTAAATTTTCTGTTTTTGTTTTCTATCAACCAAGAATTGATCTTAAACACATCTCTCAGCTCTAAGAGTTCATAGAAACAGTATATTTCGTGGAAAAAGTAGTCCTTCATCCAAATTCTTACAATCTAAGTTACTAGCATTGAGACAGGGATGAGTCCACAATCCACTCCTAACCTCTATGACCATCCTCTCGGACTCCAACTAGATCCTCATGACTGCTAAACAATCCTTTCATTTACCTCTTGATGCTCTTCCCATCACCATCTTCCTCAAAAGGAACATGTAATAATTTGCTTTCACTCTCCTAAAGCCTAGAATTAACCCCCTCTTATCTCCACTCTCAGCACATGCACCACCTACAGCTGTGCTGAGATTAAGTCTACTCAGGCCTAGGTTCCTTGTGCTTTCCTATCTTGAAAACATTTGCACAAAACCCATGCCTTCTTGCCCTCAGTCTCAAGAGGAAAAGATATCCCTCCTATTTTCCAAAGCTAAAATCCTACCTTTGTACCCTGTCACCATGTAAGTATAAGTAAGTTTTCAATACATTAAAAAACCTGAGAATTGATCCTAATATCTCTACCTCTGTTTCTAATTTCATTCCTTCTTTCCTTCATTATCAGTCACTGATCAAGGCGCCCAGAATAAAAAGATGAATAATTCATCTTTGTTTCAGTCTAGTAATAAGCTCACTGCTAACTTTCTGAAAACATTTATTTTACACCTACATCCAATTTCTCATAAGCCATTCTCCTGAATTCTTTACAGGTTGATTTGTTTTCTTGGAGTAAAGGGAAAAAACCCAAATGCCCAAAAGTAAAAAAAAAAAAAAAATTAATTACAGTTCATTCACTTACTTTTGGAAAAGGCAGGACAAAAAACTGCGCACAGACTATGAAATAATTTTAAACAACAACAAAAACACAGAACAAAGACAAAGACTGGAATTATGTACATCACAAAGTGGACGTGTCTTTCTGCAGCAGTTGACACCACTGACCATTCACATCTCTGCTTTCTTGGGCCTCTACATCATAATACTCTGACTCTTCCTACTTCTCTAGGTCCTTCAACTGGCATCTTTTTCCTTCTCCTATGGCTTAAAAAGGCTTTCTTGAAGATACTCTGTTTTAGAGGTCTATACTCCTTCAAGGCTACAAGTATCACCATTGCTCAGATGACTCCTGCATGGAGCTCTCCCTCTTGATTCTAACCAAAGCTAGATGTTTGCATCTGGATATTCGACCATTACCTCACATGCTGCTGCTTCCTCTATTGAAATGCCTTCTTTCAGCTTATCTGTCAACCTGGCAGACTTCAAGGCTTAGCTAAAATAGTGTCTTAAATGTTATACCTACTCAAATTCAAACAAACGTATCTAGATGGCTCCTTCCCCAAATTGCTGACTATGCCTTGACTATGTTTTTTACATCATATTACACTGGAGCTATTTGTTTGCATGTCTGTCTCCCTGCTAGACTGAGTGCTTCTGGAAGAAAGTGAACTGTCTTTTCATTTCTCTCTCTCAAACATCTAGCCAGGAATAGGTTTGGCATGCTGTACTCAGCACATTGTAAGCACTACAATAAATACTTGAAGAATGAATAAATAAGTTAGTAACTAAACCCTAAAACAATCTTTTCCCTAAGCTGGCATTCTCCTTTTAGAAATAAGTAAATTATTATTATAAAAGCAATAATTACTGAAGAAAATCTAGAAAACACTAACAAACTTTGTAAAAAGGTTTGCTGAATATCCAAATACTCAGAAATAAACTACAGTTAACACTTTGGTAATAACCTTCAGGTTTTTCTCACCCCTCCCGCCCCCATAAACATGGTAATCAATATTCTTCTTTCTTTCCTCTATTCTTCTTTTTTTTCCCTCTATGATTATACTCTCAGGATATAAATTTCTGTAAGTAAAATTGACAGGTAAATGGATTTTGACTTCTCTAGTTTGGTGTATGTTACTACCCGTTTTGGAATTCGCTTGGCTCATCTTTGACACTTCCCTCCCGTCCCACACACGCAGTCAACTAAGTTCTATCCATGTTGCTTTTCAGTCTTTCACGGATGTGTCCCTTATTTCTATTCAGAGCCAGAACTCTAACTTAGATCCAAATTATCTATGGAAGCAGCTAGAGGACACAGACATCCTGGACTTCTAGCTGGGTGACCTTGGCGGGGCTGGGGGCAGGTGGAAAGGGTTCCTCTGTGCCTTAGAATGTCTCTACTCTCTGTAACACAGACACATTTCTTATGTTCACTGTTGAATTATCAGTTACCTTCACATGTACACACAGTACTTGTACACACATCTAAATAAAATGCCTTCCACCTATAATACAAGCTCCTTCCTGGTAGATGGATACTGTGTCATTTGCAGATGCTAAATAAATGCTGGTTGACTTGATAACTACATTTTTATAGAGATTCTTAAAGTTGTCATTCCAAAGACCTTCATGAAAGTACTTTAACACATTCTATTGTACTGGAGTCATTCATTTTATAGTGTTCTAACTAACAGTAACAACTGGCTAGTGTTCCATTAAATTAGGCAAATGATCATTATTAAGATTTCCAAAGGCATAACGTGTATGAAATGATCACCTGGGTACAGAAAGAAAAAAAAAATTTTTTATATTCTTTTAAAATATGTCTTGTGTAAGCTTTTACTGTATACAATTTACCAGTAGTTTTTACATACAATTTATAAGTAAACATATCTGAAGTGTGTGAAATTTTTTTTAACTGATGGGATGCACAATTATGTAAGTATGGAGATGACTGCCATGGAGTATTTTCTGTGGGTACTGATCTTAACTGGAGGTATCACCAGTTCTAGAAGAAATGATTATTCACATATTCATACACTGACACACGAAAAATGCCTAAGCAAAATGAGATACATCAGTTCTAGGTTTTATTACACATTGAGCTGTAGTGCAAAAAAATCTAGTATTACAGACTTAAATCATGCTGAGGATTTAGCATATCAAAGGTCCCAATTAAACAGACTTTTGCTTTGATGAAACAATGGTGTATACATCCAAAATAAACCAATCCTTAATGTAAAAATTAAGCACGCACATAACTTTTTCTGTTATTCATTATTTATTTGTTGTTATAAGTAAGCATTAACTTTTTATTTTTTTCTATAAATGTTGGTCTCTGAAATTCAAGGACAATTATTAGCTACAAGGGAAACTGCACAGAATTAGGGAAACTTGTTTCCTTTGTTATTGACCCTGGGTAAGTCACTTTGCCTGTGTTTTCTCGTTTGTACAATGAGAGAGTGCTGGTTGGACTGGAAGATTCTAACACCTCTTTATTCTGTGATTCTTATCAAATATAAACTACTACAAGCAACAATAAATAGACTTGCTATTTTTTCTTTACATATAATGTGCTAAAATCTTTGTTCATATTATTCTTATGTCAGACTGGAAAATATGTCTAAGCTGTTTGGGTACTTGGCACAAAAAAGGGCAAAGATGGATGTCTATTGCTGTACTTACATATGCTTCTGGCACCAAGAAGTTCATATTACTGCACTCTACATGTAGGTACATGATCATTCTAAACTCTTTAAATGCATAATGTATATGTATTATTTAAAAAGTGTCCTAGCCAGTCACAAAAAAGTCAAATACTGTACAATTCCACTTATACGAGGTACCTAGAGTAGTTAAATTTGTAGAGATAGAAAGTAGAAATGGTGGCTGCCAGGGACTGGGGTGAGGGGAGGATGGGGAGTTGTTATTTGATGGGTACAGAGTTTTAGTTTTGCAAGATGACAGGAGTCATAGAGATTAACTGTATAATAATGAGAATGTACTAATGCCACTGAACTGTATACTTAAAAATGGTTAAGCTGGTAAATTTTATGTTATATATATCTTACCAGCATTTTTTTTTTTACATCTTTATTGGAGTATAATTGCTTTACAATGGTGTGCTAGTTTCTGCTTTATAACAAAGTGAATCAGTTATACATATACGTATGTTCCCATATCTCTTCCCTCTTGAGTCTCCCTCACTCCCACTCTCCCTATCCCACCCCTCTAGGTGGTCACAAAGCTCGGAGCTTATCTCCCTGTGCTATGTGGCTGCTTCCCACTAGCTATCTATTTTACGTTTGGTAGTGTATATATGTCCATGCCACTCTCTCACTTCGTCCCAGCTTACCCTTCTCCCCATCCCCGTGTCCTCAAGTCCATTCCCTAGTAGGTCTGCATCTTTATTCCTGTCCTGCCCCTAGGTTCTTCAGAACCATTGTTTTTTTTAGATTCCATATATATGTGTTAGCATATGGTATTTGTTTTTCTCTTTCTGACTTACTTCACTCTGTATGACAGACTCTAGGTCCATCCACCTCACTACAAATAACTCAATTTCGTTTCTTTTTATTTATCAGCATTTTTTAAAAAGGTGTTTTAATGACAATTTAATATTTTCGTTTAAAATGGTTATAAGAAAAATGCACCTCAAGAGAACAAACTTACTATGAACTTATGCCAAATAACAGAATACTTCTGTTGGTTTACAATAAATAATCTCCAGAAACATTACTTTCCCTCTACCTAAAAAACAAAATGTTTGAGAATGTAACTATACACTTGGCAAACTGCCATCAAAAAAATTCTTAACTGTTAATGTTATTCATTGGCTACATTTTGGGTTAGTCTTTCATAAAAGAAAACATTTTCCTTTTACAAATGGTGTATTTATAAAAATAAGTTCATTCCTTGTAGGTGAATGAAGTTGAGAAAGTTCCTTCACAGTATGTTAGAGAATAGATCTGAATACCAGGAAACTTGGATTCTGGCCAGGCTTTTCCTAGGCCCAGTTGCTTCTTTTGTAAAAGAGTTTGTTGTGA